AATCGCTTCTTATGTTTGGGTTTTGAAAAAGTGCAAAATGACTGAAAATCTTAGATTTATATACTTTGCTGAAGGACTGGCGCGGACCGCGCAAAAATGCCCCGCGGCCGCGCCGAGGAAGGGAGGGAAAACGACTCTCTGAACCTATCCAGCACAGACCGCACTGATTTGGTGCGCGGCCGCGCTGGTTGACCTAGAGTTCACTGGCCCTCTGAACCTAGCCACGCGGACCGCGCAGAAATGCACCGCGGCCGCGCGGCTTCCGGCGCGGACCGCGCAGAAATGACCGCGGCCGCGCTGGGGGCCTGCAACACCTGGACCTGCAATTTCTGATACTTTTAAGTCTAAAACCCTCCCGGGACCCACTCAAAACTCACCTGAGCCCTTGGGGCTCCAAACCCAACATACACACAACTCCAACAACATCCTACGGACATATCCGTGCGATCAAATCGCCAAAACAATATCGAATTAGGCCTTAAGACCCATGATTTCCTTCCAATTTCCATGAAACATCAAATTTTACTGTTGCTAGCTCAAAACACGTCAAATGACGTCCAAATCTAACCAAACTTCACAGCAATTGCTTAACTCATATTTAAGACTTGTGCCGGGCGTCGGAACCAAAATATGAGTCCAACAGCACAGTCTTCTAACAAATAACACTTTCCAATTCTTTAATTATTTTCAGAAAACAATTTCACGTAAAAATTCATTCCTCGGACTCGGGACCTCGGAATTTGATTCCGGGCACATCCCCAAGTCTCATATTATCCTAGGGACCCTCCGGGACTGTCGAATCACGAGTCCGGGTCCGTTTGCCCAAAACGTTGACCGAAGTCAACCTTAATCAATCAAAACATCAAAAATTTTATTATCTTTCTCGCAAATTCATATTTAAACGTTCCGGCTACGCGCCCGGACTGCGCACACAAATTCGAGGCAACCCCCAAGTGAGGTTTTCACGGCCTCAGAAATACAGAGTGAGTAGGAATACAGGTGATGACCCTTTGGGTCGTCACACTTCTTGGATTTGATGGGGGCAGCATCGTTCTTTCCATTAACTGTCTACTTCCAAAAAGAGATGCAAATTGGCCAGAAAAAGATACCAAAGCATTCTTTCCATTAACTGTCTACTTCCAAAAAGAGATGCAAATTGGCCAGAAAAAGATACCAAAGCATTCTTTCGTATGGATATAGCTGAAAATACTAAGTTGGACAGTTGGACTTGCCTGATCGTATCAGTTGTTGCAGCTGCTGAACAAAGCAGATTTATCCCATGTATTAGTCAATCGGCGCAAGATTTTTTTATTAAGTACTTTAAGTCCCGACACTTATAATTCGTTAATTAAGATTAATAACTTACGGATTTTTGAGAGGCTATGCAAAAGAACGACACCAAAGTTGATAGTCTAGCCAAGTGAAGCATATCAAAGATGTCGTCAATCGGCCATACTACCTGAAAGCAAAGCCAATGAATACATAATATAAGCAATGCTGAAGGAAGAGGCATATTATATATATATAAAATCTTTGTAAGGTAGTGTTGGAATTTTCAGTACAAGTGAGCAAAAAACCAAATGTATAGCCATCTTCTAATCTTAGAGGGTTTCTAGGAATTTCATCATAGTTCTAGTGATCAGTCCAACATTTCCCTTCTTGACATTGTAAAAAAAAATAGTGTAAACATTTGGTTTATCGTTTATACACCCTTTTCCATGATTGAATATCGGAAAAGAGGCCATCTAGTGCAGAAACATGTATCCTAAGTTGAAGAATGTTGCATAAGAAGATGATAAGCACACAGATATTTGCGACATTCTATCTTTCTATTACAGATGTGTGTTGCCACATAAAGATGTTCTCACCCTAATGGAAGTCGAAGTATATTTTTTTTCTCTGTTAGTAATGTCCATAAATTTTGAGGCTTCTCTTACTTGGTGCAGCAGAACAGGAAAGTAGGAGCAATTCAACCGATAAAATTAAGACCTTGTTGATGATAAAAAAGAACTTCGCTATTTAACCCTGAACTGATTAGTTGACAGCAAAAGATAAATTTCATAAAAAAAAACATAGTAAATGTGCAAATCAGGAACAATTAGACAGCAGAAAACGAACAAATTTGATCAAAACACATAGTAAATATGCAAACCAAGAATATTTACTGATATGTATGTAAAGATTCTTGCAACAATTATGCAAAAGAGCAGAAAACGAACATTTACCAACCAAAACTTAGATTAGCAGTAGAAGAAGGCAATAAACAACGAAAATTGCACAAACAGCTAATTAAATTAAAGAGCTCGCACCGAATTCAAATAAAACAAAGATGGATAAACTGCCTGCATATGCCAACAGGAGAATTCACAGAGAGAAATCGAGAAGTAAAGGGGAAAATAAAGAGGTATGCAGGTGAATAGACGATTGAGTAGAGCAAGGCAGATGACACAATGAAAAGGCTCTACAGGTCATGGCGCTTACTCAGCAAATTTTAGGCTACGTGTACAGCTGTACAAAAGCCCGTGGAAATATTTCAGAACTCAAAAAGGCAATGAAAAGACCTAAAAGCCCCTGTCTCGGCACCTGAAATGACCAAATTGCCCTTGGTAAGCAGGCATGATGACCCTGACCTGCTTCCCAAGCGGCTTCTATGTAGTATAAGTAGTAAAATATAGAAGAATATATATATATGATAAAACTCCCCAAGAAACCAGCAAATATTGGTCAAGCCCACACGAGATTTTGGGACATAAGCCCAACAGTACATTATTGTTCTTCTTCCTCTTCGTCATTCAATATGAAAATCCAACCAAACACAACTTAAATCTTTACCAAACCTCTTTAAAATTGAGATATGAATTTCAAAAGATATTCTCAATCAATTGCAACAATATTCAATTAAACAAATAAAAATTTTGCAAAATTTAATTTCAAATTTAAAGTTTTAATTTTTTTTAATGGTTGTCTATGGAACTTTTATGAGAGTTTATGACTTTGTAATCTTTTATTATTAATTGCAATAAATGGGGGGAATTGCCAAGTTCGTCGTCACAGGAGAAAAGGAAATAACTTTGATTCGTATGAAGGATCAACTGAAATAATTTTTAAAAGAACAAATTGTGGAAATTCAAAATGATGTATAGAGAGTAAAATCATTAATAAATATCATCTATTGCAAGTCTTTTCTTTCGTTTCTACTTGAGAAGATAGCACAAGGAAGATTGGTCAGAGCATAAAAGAACGAACTTCCAAGGAGAGAGGCGTAAGAAACAAAAGATTGGACAGAAATTGGGAGGAATTAAAACATAATACATTTTTGTCTACAATTAGTAATTGCGTTTATGCTATGTAATTAAGAATGAACGTGTTAAATATATTTAATATTAAGCATATCTATGTAAAAGTTAATGAATAAGTTTATAGTAAATGGATACAGTCAAACCTCTCTATAATAACATTGTTGGATCTAAATTTTTTTGGCTAGTATAAAGAATGATTGTTATACACCTATAATGACATTTGACCTTTAAATAATAGTTGGTTGTTATGGGCCAAAAAGAGGCATATAATCTAAAAAAAAATTGATGTTATAAAAATAACAAAATTATTTAAATTTTAAATCTCACATACTTCACTAGTTAAATATTAAAGAAAGTTAATACAATTATATTAAATGCATAAATGAATGTGTAAAGTTTTAAGCTCTAAGGCACATATTTTAAATATACTTGAAAAGCTCTAATTCATTCTTTCCAGTAGGGGTGTCCATAAAAACCCGAAAAATCGAACCAGACCGAAAACCAAACCAAACCGACCAAAAAAACCGATACTTTTTGGTTTGGTTTGGTTTTGGTTTTGAATTTTAAAAACTGATCAAATTTGGTTTGGTTTTGGTTTTAATCAGAAAAAAACAAAAAAAAAAATCTAACCAAACCGACTATAGGAGTAGCTATTTCAAATTTATTATTACACACACACACACACACAGACACACACACACACACACACACACACACACACACACACATATATATATATATTATATATATATATATATATAAAGTTTCAAAAATTTTATGGTGAATGTTAATCGTTTGCACTTTTAGTACAGTTTTTTACCTTTATATTGTAGTTTGATTAGTAGTTTTCTTTTGTTAAGTATAAGAATCCATTTCGTATTAAAAATAATAGATTTTTAATTGAGTCATTAAATTATTCATTACTATTTGATTCAACTATCATCAATATATCTTGGTAAATAATAGATTTCTCAAAGGGCAATTGATTTGATAGTGTTACATTGAAAATGTGGTCGCCTGAATATGTGTTTGGTAGTGTATGTCTTATATTTAAGAAAAAACCGACAAATAATCGAAAAAACCGAATAACCGACAAAACCCGACATAAACCGAATCGAGAAAAAACCGACTTAATTGGTTTGGTTTGGTTCTAATATTTGAAAAACCGACTTACTTGGTTTGCTTTCTTTTAAGGGAAAAACCGATCTAAACCGAACTATGAACACCCTACTTTCCAGATTGATGAAGGAAATTTCTAATTGTAGCTTGTTTAGAAAAGATTAGAAGGAATCAAATATTTGTCTCTTTGCTTACTCTAAAGAATAGAATTCGTACTCCTTATTCACATTGTTTTCTTTGTGAAAATTATTTATAAATAAAAATAGAAGACAATGATATTTTTAGATTGCAATATGTATTCATATGTAATATTTTGTCATAATTATAGTATATTACAATATCAATTAAATATTTGGTCAAGATCTCTACATTTTTTATTGGTAATCATAGATACTTTATCCGTCTCAAATTATTTGTCTGGTTTCTAAACATAGTTGTTTCAAATTGTTGTCATTTTAGAAGTTCAAGATAAAATTAATTATTTTTTCTTATTTTATCCCTTGGTAATAATTGTTCTTGAAGATGGAGATATCACATAAATATAATCTTTATTCAATGAGTGTAGATTATATCTTAAGACATAAATAAGAGTAAAATAATCAAAAATACCTTCTAATTAATTTTTCTTAAGGGCTGTGTAAAAGAGAAATATGACAGATAATTTGAGACTGATGAATTATTCTATTTTTAAAGATGGTTAATTATTATATGACCAAAAAATAAGACAAAGTTTTTATAAAGAGCGTACTGTTATAAAGTTGGTTATTGCTGTTATAGGTAAATTGTTGTTATAGAGAAATAAAATATAAGAGAAACTTACACAAATGTCCCAAATAAATCTCAACTTACCAACCTCAAGCCATTAGTCATAGACTTACCAAAACTAGCCAACAAAAATTTAAAAACCAAATAATAGGGTTCTTTCTCTCAAAGAATCACATGCAAAAATCACCTTTCATATTTTTAAGCGTGATTAGCAACATTAGATACAAGACGGAAAGGAAATTTCATGGACGGGGTAGCAAATAAGGTGATGAAATACAAAAATCTATACAATATTCCAAAAATCTAAACAAAAAGGAACTTTTTCAATGGGTATAGTTGAAATTCATTGAAAATATATAGATAAGCTAATATACAAAATTTGAGGAAGATTGGAGGTGATTTGAACTGGTTTTGTATCAAAATTCGTAATTAAATCGAGTTCAAAAAAGTCTTCTACGACACATGTATCAAACATGTATCACGCATGTATCTCACACACAAGTATACATGTGATACACAATTGATACAAATATGATACACAAATGATACATAGTATGATACACATCTCATTTTTTTCATGTTCATCTTTTACTTCGAATTTTCAATTCAAACCACCTCAAAACCTCACCAAATCATCCCAAAACTGAGATTCAAGCTCCTTAAGTTGTGCCCAATCTATTCTAATAACACCCATTCAAAACAAAGCAAAAGTTTGATATCTTTTTGCTACAAATAGCTAATTGGCTAAATTGGCTAATATTAGTAATTTTTTATCAATTGGTCAATTTTTATAATGAGCTACTTATAAATGGACATAGCTGGTAATTTCCCAAAATATAACATAACAAATTGGGTTTGAAAAAACTTTAACCCAAAGAGGTATTGTTATAGAAAGGTATCACAATATAGGTTATAAGTCGACAGTTTCGGCTGGCGAAGAATTTGGACCACACAATTTGGACCAATTTTTATTTAGCCCCTTTCTTCAGCGGCTGAAGAAAATAAAATAATAAAAAATATAAAAATCTTATTAGGAAAAAAGAGTTTCTATAAAAATGTTGGTCTACATTTAACCATTCGCCTTTCTTCCTCTTTCATCTTTTACTGATAAAATGTAGAGTAACAGTGAGATTGTACCTAGAACAGAAAAAAAAACTTCGAGCAAGTGAGGGAAAATTCTTGTTAGAATTCTATAATTCAGCTTTCAAGCAATCATCAATGGGTTCACTTACTATAAACTACTGTTGGACTATTGCCACTGCATGTAAGTTTTCCTTTGTCCATTTCTTGGAATATGGTGAAATCTTCCTTAAGCCTCCATGTCCATTAGTAAGAAACAAGAATCTTGGAAGAAAACCCAAGATGCCTAAGCAATTTCTTTATGCTTTTATAATTTATGTAAAAGGACAATCTTTTATCTGTTTTTAATTGTGTTTACTCTTATAAATACAGCTGAAATTCTATCTGGTAGGAAGTTTGGTGATTCGAACAGTTCACTAAGGCCCGTGCCCCCTGTATTATGCTGTGTGAGTTCTTAAAACATGTATTTTATGTTCACTTAAATTCAGGTCAATTTCTATTTAGGTATGGTTAGTGAACTTTGCCGAGGGTCTATTGGAAATAGCCTCTCTATCCTCACAAGGTAGGGGTAAGGTCTGTGTACACACTACCCTGCCCCGACCCCACGATGTGGGATAATACTGGATATGTTGTTGTTGTATGGTTAGAGAACTTTATACACTATAACTATAAAGGCACAAAAGTATTAAAGTCAATAACTTTACCCACTGTAACGACCAAGTCTACCCGTTAAGGTGATTTTACTGTTATAGTGGTAATTCAATTTACCTCTATGTGACAAAAAATAGTTTTATGACTTTATTTTGAATAGTGGAAAATTTTCAGTTACTTTAATATGACAAAAAGTAGTTTTGTGATTTTTTTGACTATTGTAGTGGTTAATGTTCAGTAACTATATGTGAAATAATCCCTTGAACTCATGTATATCTTGGACTACTGACTATGCTTACTCCTCATAATACAGAGGTGTAAAACCAATGTAAGGGCATTTGCAAGTCAGAGGTCTGTTAAGAAATCAAGAAAAAAAGGGAAAACAGAGAAAACTGATACTGCAGTACCCGAGAAGTATCTGTTAAGTGATGATGTTAATCCAGATTACGTTGAAGATAGCAAGAAGAACATATCCCTTCTTGACACTTCAGAGGCTGGGACTTCTGTGCCGATGATCCCATCTAGAGGTTCTGTGCTTCAGGCATGCATAATCACTTCTGGTTTAATAGGTCTTCTAGGTGTCGTAATTCGAGAGGTACACTTTTTCTCTCAGCTCAAGGATGTTACTTACTGTATGAGTTCATATTTTGATAACAATATGTTACTGCTTTTTGTATGCACAAGCAGAGTGCTATGCTTACACTTCATGTGCTAAGAAATTGAATTGTTAATACTAGCAAAGTTGTGTTTGATTCTATCATCTAAGTTTCATTCGTATTGTGAAGACTACTAAGCATTATGCTTAGATTGATAATTTCTTCTACTATTTGGTGTTAGTGACACTTAGATTTTTAAAATCCATGAAAGGAAAGTAACCCCCTTATTCTGAATTGGTTGATTTGCAGGTTTCTCATGTTGCATCAGAAGGTGGGTTGCCAATTGTTGACTGTTCTGTCGAAATACCATGTAAGTCTGAGAAGCTTTCTTCTCTATGCAGTAGTTTGTGAGATTTCCGACACCTTATTGAAAGTACTTGTTATATTGATAAACCTCTCAAGAATTTGGTAAAGAAGAAATTGCTCTGAAAATAATATCAACGGCATTAATTTGTCTGTGAATTGTGTGTCCGTAGCTAAGATGTTGAAATAAACCTTTGCAGCGCAATAGTTTTTCCCAAGCTCATTGACCTTGTGATATTCTCCAGCTACCAACTAGCTTCATGATAATTTTCTCTCTTTTATAATGATCTTCGTTGTGTGATGTTTCACCTTATATTTTCTCTTGTTTGTATCTACTAAGGATGCCTTCTTAAGCTTTGACTAACTCAGGATGGTTTATTTAAGGTTTTATCTTACATCAACGACTGCAAAGTAATTGTACTAGTTTTTCCTTGAGTACATTTAGAAACTTGGGATCTATAATTTCCCCCCTGAATAACACGCCGTTCTTTTTGATTTATCACGAGTATACTGTAAGTTGAGAGGAAGTTTACACCATGGCCCTGTCATAGGAACTTCTCTCTTTTTAATGCTGAAGTGCCGCAACGTCTTAACTGATGGGTCTCATCAGTTACAGTTTATATAATCTTCAATGATGATAAGCTCTCTCTACAGTGACTTTCCAGATGTGGCATGTTGAGTTGATTACTGGATTGGTAATACTGGTATCCTCTTGTCGGTACTTACTGCTGAAGATTTGGCCTGATTTTGCCAAGTCTAGTGAAGCAGCAAATAGCCAGGTACATATTCTCGCACAAATTAATTCGAGCTTTTTTCTTATTGCCTACTAATCTTGACTTTCTGCTGCCCTTAGTATAAATGCAAACTTGTTCTATATTCTGTTAAACTTAGCTTTCTTGCTATTCTGAAGAAAAATAAATTCCATTTCAGGTCTTAAGTTCACTTGAACCATTGGATTACATAGTGGTATCACTTCTTCCAGGCATTAGTGAGGTATGCATAAAAAGTCTTTCGTTATACTTCTCAATTACATTACTTCTTTAAACTGCTAAATGAGTTCTTCATCTTGAAATTTCAGAACTGATTACAAGCTTGTATGGGTATCTCAATGACACAGGAGCTTCTTTTCCGTGGTGCACTGCTACCACTTTTTGGCATCAATTGGCAGAGTGTCATGGCAGTTGCTTCCATATTTGGGATACTTCACTTGGGCAGTGGTCGAAAGTACTCCTTTGCTGTCTGGTATTTTTTTTAAACTTATGCTCCAACTGTGGTATTATCCGTAGATAATCATATCTAAGCAAGTTTCTGGATACAAGTCAATAGTTTCTTTTTCCTTTTTCTATCATGAGGTGTCCTTGTGCTCGTGACATGATATTTCACAATATAACTTGTCGTCTTTTTCTTGTCCATTTACTAGAATCTTATAAGAAACACGTAAGGCTCAAGACCAAATTTATATCCATTGCTTGAATTATGATGCTGAAGAAGGGTGGTGAGACTTGAATTTTGCAACTGTTATAATTTCAGGGCCACATTTGTTGGAATTGCGTATGGTTATGCTACACTTTTATCATCAACTGTTCTTGTGCCAATGGCTGCTCATGCCGTAAATAACCTAGTAGGAGGCATCATATGGCGCTACACATCAAATTCGTCAAAATAGATTGGTAATTTCTTTTGCACTACAGTACCACGATATCTTGTGAGTTTTACAAGATCAGCTCTCTCTCTCTCTCTCTCTCTCTCTCTCTCTCTCTCTCTCTCTCTCTCTCTCTCTCTCTTACGCTTCATCTTTAAGTAATATCTAATAAAGGAGTATGAAGGGTTTCTGCAGTATTTGCATAAACCCTTGAAAGCTCAACCCAGAATTGGTATGAAAATTAGCATTGCATTGATTAAATAACCATTCTGAACAATGATTTTCTTGGCTAAAATTCCAAAAGTCTGTCTTGTTCCCTTTTTCATTAATTTACCTTTTTTCTCACTGTGTTTTTGGATATTAGCAATTGTCTAAAGTGGAAATGCTAGTAGTATATGTTTTAATTGATCTTATTACCATGTTAATATGATTAGAGAATTGCTATTTCGTTAAAACTTTAATTGTTGGTATGAATTCCATCCAAGAAAAGAAAGATGATGTCCTTCTCAAAAAAATAAAAAATAAATAAATAAATAAAAAGAAAAGAAAAAAAAAGATGACGTATAATTGAGGAAATTTTATCTGGTCATACTTGCTCGGTTTGCTGCATTTACTAACTTGCTCTGGGTGCTTTCTTCGTTTTGGCAAGCACCAGCAATTCTTTTATATATAGAACAGTCTGTTCATATTAAACAAAACTATAAGCTGCAAGTTCCTGGTTTTGCTTCTTTAGATTTGTGAAACCATGATAAAGTTTCTCACAATCGCCTCGGTTCTTGTTCTGTTAGCCTCCATAAATCGTGTGGAGGTTGGCCAACAACTGCTTGTTGTCAGCCGTCTGCAGCATGGACGAGCACTAGATGTTATTGTTCACCTTACTACTCTTAACTGTCTACATTTCTCCCATTCTCCTTTAACTTTGTGGCCAGCAGATGTGTTACTATTAGCCTTCAAATAACATGTTTTTTATCTGCCTTTTCTCATGACAAATATAACTATACAAAGGAACTTATGATGTGCTGGTTTTGCGATTGTGTTATGTAGAATTTAAAATACAGTGACAGTGTAAAAGATGATTCGAGGTAACTGTCCATAAAAGTGGATTTAGTAACCTTAAAAATAAGGTATGTTGCCTGTTAAAAAGGATAAAATACACTACTGGTGCAAAATTTCTTGCAGATAAGTTAAATCCATGTTATATGTATATATATGTTAAAAGCTTTTGCATACATTGTCATTGTTGCTTGTAAATTTGACGTTTTATGAATGAATCTGTATTTTGCAGCATGCACGAGCAAATGCAAGAAAGCTTGCTGTGACTGCAACATACGGGTGATTCCTCCCGTCTGCACCAAGTGCCGACTGATGGTTTCACAGGTTAAAAGGAGTCATTTTACTCTTTATCATGGGATATGTGTAAAAGATCTGTGAAAGATCTTTGCTTCTTTTTTAGTAATATACGTGTGATTTCTGAGTTATTGTTGGTGAAGAACGTTACTGATTATTATTGAGAACAAAAAATTTTCTGCAGCATTATGAGCTCCAATCTGGCCATAACTTTTTCTATTATTCGACTATTTTCTGTTAGCATTATCAGGTAATTCTCACTTAGATCCCCTCAGGTTTGGGGAAGTGGCACTTAGCTCCTTGTGGTTTGAATATGGCAGATTAGCCCCTTACTGTTGATCAAGATTATAGTTTGAAAAATTGGACAAAAGCTAGGAGCCATCTACTTGACTATAAGCATGAAAGACGTACTAACTTCCATTTACATCTTCTTTCCTTATGAAATTATGTTTCCATCAGTTTAGGCAGAGATGAGCAATCAAGAAAATTCAGAGGAATGCACATTTTGTTGCACATTCCTTCACATGCTGTAAGCCTGTAACTAGTACAAGGCACCCACTGTGTGCTTGTTTGTTAGCTTTTTGACCGTTCTTCCAGTTGGCATGGAAATGAAATGGAGCACTAGCTTTAGTTATTAAATTGGGTAAACAAAAAAAAGAGGACAAGAAAACTTCTGAATTTTGGCGAGGAACCGATTAATGAGGCTTGTTCTTTTCAAGAACTGTGAAGAACAGACACAGGAGAGAAAACTGAAGAGTTCATCCAACTAGCAGAAACTGAAACTTTTAAGTTGAGTAAGTTTCACAGGTAAACATTCGTATGTCTTTTTTCTATTCATTGGAGTGGAGTTTAATCTGCACTTTTTTGAATGAAAAGCAGTGACATTAAGCGCCTCCAGATATTAAAATTAACATTGCATTGATCAAATGGCCATACTGGTTTTGACTGATGATTTTCTTTGCTAAAAACTCCAAGAGTCTGTCTTGTTCTCCTTTTCATTAGTTTACTTTTTAATACACTTTTCTCTGGATATAAGCAATTGTTTGAAGTGGACTATAACGACTCGACCGATCTTTACGAGCATTGCCATTTCGTTCGGTGGTTTGAGGTCTCAAATAACTTCATTTGATGTATTACGACTTGCGTGCATGGTTGGTTTGGTTTCGGGAAGATTTCGGAGTGATTCGGAACACATTAGTTCCTAGTTTAGAAAAGCTTAAATTACAAGTGTTGACCAGTTTAACTTTTATGTATTTGATCTCGGATCAGAGTTTTGAAGGTCCCGTTAGGTCCAGATGGTGATTTAGACTTAGGCATATGTCCGGATTCAGAGTCGAAGGTTCCTAGGTTGATTTGGCTCTAATTGGCGAATGTTGGAAGTTTGAAGGTTTAGAAGATCATAGGTTTGACCCATGTTTAGAAGCTTAAGTTACAAGTTATGACTTGTGTGTAAATTTGAGGTCATTCCGAGTTGTTTAGGCATGTTTGACGTAAGTTTGGAATTCGAAAATTTGGATTAGTTCATTAAGTTTGAGTTGGTGTGAGATTCGTAGTTTTGATATTATTTGGTGTGGTTTGAGGCTTCGAGTAAGTCCATGTTATGTTTTAGGATTGGTTGGTGTGATTGGACGGGGTCCCGAGAGCCTCGGGTGTACGGCTACAATTGTTAGAATGTTCCTGTTACTGTGAATAAGAATATTCTGTTGAATATTCCCCCACGTTGTACTTTTTTAGAGTTCTCTAGGAATATCCCTTATAAATAAGAAGAGACAGGAAACAAAAAAGGGGATTCAGAGCCTTTGTGGAAAAACATCTTGTAAAGAGTTGACTATCTGAAATATACAAAAAGATTGTTTGGTTCCATCACATAACATTCCTCCTTAGCTCACAAGATCCAAGAATACATTATCCACTTCACGTGTCTGTTGTCACGTGTTGTAGTCAGAGGAAGGAATCATCCATCTCATCCAACCTTTGGGCGACAAATTCCTTCTTATTACATTTAATGCCATTTATCACAGTTATTGCATGTTTCCATCCTCATATTAATTGTTAGTCATAGAGCATTAACTCAGCATTTGTCAACTTGAACATGGACTCGTACTGCCTAGGTTGATTAATTTCGGATCTAGAATTTATTACTTTTAACTTGGATTCACCCCTCATCTCTTTATTAAATTGGTTTAACTAAAAGGGTTCAAACTTTTTGGTCAAACAATTTGGCGCCGTCTGTGGAGAGGTCCAAGTTAAAAAGTTTAGTTTCTTCTAGATCTAAAAAAACCAACAAAAGCTCCCCTTTTTTCTTGTTTGCACAAGCTAACAATGGCAGGAAAATGAGAGGAAAGACTGAAAACAATGATGGGTGTCGCTACCAATCTCATAGGCACCATCAACGAGATGTACAGGGAAGGCGAGGAGGCTGCGACGCCGAGCGCCTCACCCAGGCAAAGTGATTTACCCCCTCCTCATGGGAGTGTAACCGCTTCACATGAGAAGGGGGACTCCACGTCCACGACGGAAGAAGCGTCGCCCGCAGTGAGAAAGTTATTAGAAGCGTGACTGACAAGCACCCTACGCAGTATACTTGACAAACCCGCTCAAGGGGCGAGTAGGAGCACCATGCGAGTTGACACCCCAATAACCATCAACGAGCAACACGCTCCTCCCCCAACAGGTAACCCTCACACCGTTGTTGATGCAGGTAATGACGCCCTCGTAGTTGTTCTAAGAAAATAGAAAAAACGGAGAATGAGAATAAAGCTCCGCTACCAGATGAGGGAGCACCAAGAAAGAGTTAATAAGATACCAGGCGCCCCGAAACTCCTGCCAAAACGACACAGTATTTTTGATAAATTGTTCTTCTTTCCTTCTTGTTCTTAGTCAATATTATCTACTCATTTTTCTTACACAGATCACATGGTTATCAGCTCATGTGAGAAACAACAGACCAAGAAAAACTATATTAGGATTTCTCTTTGTAGCCATTATGTACCATATCCGATTAGAAAGGAATAGCAAATTCAGTCAGAAACCACAAAATTACAAGATAGATAGTGAGGGAAATAGTCTTGTAGTTGCATATTGTAGGACAAAAAAAGTATAAAATGGTCTAAATGTCTAGATAGACTCAAGAGTTATCCAATTGTGTAGGAGTACTCTACTAAAGTAGTCCATTTTGTTAGAGTTTTCTATGGGTCTGTTTGATGATCTAGCTCAGGAGTTGTACATACTTTACATATGGTTAAATATAATTTTCGTGTGACGGAAAACCANTATATTATATGCCATATTGGTATCATATGGTAGTTTGAACATTATTTTGGTTGTTTTAGCTGCATTTTAAGTGAATTTTATTATGAAAATATTTATATGAACATGATTTGTAGTGTTTGAATTTTTGTGTGCCAATGGACATAAATTATGTGTATTATGTAATAATTTTTATAGTTATAGGCAATTGTTGGAACGACCCCATACAACTATATATCCTGTTAGTATACGGAATGAGCAAGTTGTTTTGCGAATATTTAGCTTGCAATACGAGCATGTAATTTTCTCATACTTTTATTGCGTCCTTTAATGTTTTGGTACAGTAGTATAGTCGCAGATAGTTGTAGCAATATTCTAGAACAATCATATGCTCTGTTGGTATACATATATACCATATTGGTATCACATGGTACTAGAAGTCTTTTTTGCTACTTATACTTTTATTGCATTTTTCAATATTTTATTATCATTTTTATTTTAACTAGTATATATGGAGATTTGGTTGCCGTAGATTATATTTTCTTGCTCTATAACTGGTTGTATTACTGCTAATGGTAGAGTGTGTAATGATATTTGTAAGGAAGGAGATCAAGGTTTGCATGGCAATCACGTGTTGATTCTTAGAATCTGATTATGTAATTTATGGTGCTTAGCAGTAGTCAGTGTGATATTCAGTGAATTAGATCAAGTGACAACTGATATTATTTCAGTTTGATAATTAAATTTAAAAAATGAGAAAGAAAAAAAACAAAAGGTATATTGTACTAGTTATATTAAAAAAAAAGGTGAACAAATATTTACAATATCAGTTATTTTCTTATTGTATAAAAAAAGAATAATAAAAATAGTGAAAACAGTAAATGAAATTAGATTATGAAGAGAAAAAGAATATAAAAAAAAGAAGTTAAATGAAATTAAAAAAGGAAAAAAGAAAAAAAATAAGAAGAAAACGAGAAAAAAAAGGAGAAAAGAAAGACTAAAAGAAAAAAGAAAAGAAGCATAGAAATAAAAAAGAATTGGAGAAAAAAGAAAAACTTTCCCACAAAAACTACTATGGGTAGGAAATGTAATTAGTTTGATGGGTAGGAAAACAAATGGGTAGACAAGGGTAAATAGTTTTATTTTTGTGGGTAACTGTGTCATTCTCCCAATAGAAATAGAGGTGGGCTTGGACTTAAATATTTTGGTATTTCGGTATACCGGAATATCAAAAATTCAATACTGTGTACCGACCGAAATACCAAAATACCGCAATATATGTACCGAAGTATACCGAAATACCGAAATACCGGATACCGAAATACCAAATTAATTCGGTTCGGTTCGGTTCGGAATTCGGTTTTTCGGATTTTATGCCCACCCCTATCGCTAGTTGTCACGACCCAAGTTCTCCCTCCGTGAACTGTCGTGACGGCACCTAGTCCCTACGACTAGGTAAGCCTAACAATTTGCAGAAAAAGGAAAATAAAATACGAAACTAGCAAAATACGAATAATATAATAGAGAAGTTTAAGAATGCCGCTCGGCATATATAATTTCACCCTCTCAAACTGAACACAAGGCACTCCCAAAATCCGAAATCTCATGAAATCACAAGCTATGGAAAACTACATAGTGTTCTAACTCCAGAATGTCTAATCAAAAGTAAATACAGGAAGTCTAAAGCTAAAGGGAAGAATAGAGAGGGACTCCTGGATCTGCGGACGCGGCAAATATACCTCAAAGTCTCTGATATCGACTGTCTCACTGATAGAACGGTTGAGCAGCAGAACCTGGATCTGCACACGAAAAACATGTGCAGGAAAGGGCATGAGTACACACGGCGGTACCCAGTAAGTACCAAGCCTAACCTCGGTCGAGTAGTGACGAGGAAGGTCAGGTCCTTACTGGTTATATATATATATATATATATATATATATATATATATATATATATATATATATATATAACAAGGTAAGCAGTATGAAATGAAGCAATATGATTAAAGTACTAACAGTCGATAAAGAATAAAAAAACACAGAAAGAATATAACTCGGTACACAGAGATAGCAACAGGGCGATGTATCAGGATATCGTCCCGTAGTCCCAAATGTAAATATGCAAGGGGATCTACCGCAATATCGATCCGTAGTCCCAAAGTAAATATCTAGTACAGGGGAATGTACCGGGTGTCGTCCCGTAGTCCCAAATATAAATGTGTAGGGGGATTTACCGGAATGCCGATCCGTAGTCCCAAAGTAAATATCCAGTACAGGGGAATCTACCAGGTGTCGTCCCGTAGTCCCAAATATAAATGTGTAGAGGGATCTACCGGAATACCGATCCGTAGTCCCAAAGTAAACATGTAGGGGGATCTACCGGAATACCAATCTGTAGTCCCAAAGTAAACACACAACAGTCTCAAGAAAGAATTTACAGTTCTATTCAAGTTCATACCAAGAAAAACTGAGATTTCTATTCTAAACGTGCTGCACAGAATTCAAGTAAATAGTTTAAGAAGATAGTACAGTTAAGTCACTTAAGCATGCTTTCCTAAGCAAAACAGTAGGCTTTAAATACAAGTAGTGTTCAACAAAAAGGAACCACATATATTTACTTAATGAAAATGGGGGTTTTCAACAATTAGCACGTGTACGCACTCGTCACCTCACGTACACAACACTCATATAACAACAGTACCAAAATCCTAAGGGGAGTTCTCCCACACAAGGTTAGGCAAGCCACTTACCTCGAACCAGCTCAAAATTAATCCGAAATCACGCTCTTTCCCTGAGTATCCAACTCCGAGTGGCCCAAATCTAATCAAATAAATTTCATAATATAAATATAACTACAAACAACGAATTTAGCTAAAGGAATTGAAGCTAAGGTAAGAAAATGGAAAAACGCCCAAAAATCCTCCCTGGGCCCACGTCTTGGAATCGGGTAAAAGTTACGGATTATGAACACCCATTCACTCACGAGCACACTCGAACAAAAATCACCAAAATCCGATGCCAAAATCTCACTCAAAACTCGGATTTTCAATTGGGGAACTTTTCCCCCAAATCCCCATTCTTCCACTCAAATTCTTAGATTAAATGTGTAAAACAACAATAGATTGATGAAATATAAACGAAATAGGGTTAGGTCATTACCCACTGATTTCCTCTTCAAAACCCTCTCAAAATCGCCTTCTCCCGAGCTAAAAATCAAATTTGATGTTATGAACTTCAAACCCTTGAAATTTCTATATCTGCCCAGCGATTACCGCATCTGCGGTTCATGGGGCCGCACCTGCGCCTTGGGCTCTGCATTTGCGGAATTTCATTAACTCCACGCTCACCGCACCTACGCTCCCTTCTCCGCAGATGCGGTCCGCTTCTGCAGTCGTTGAGCCGCATCTGCGGTCACTGGCCCTTGAGCTCCAGACCGCACCTACGACCTTTTGCCTCGCTTCTACGGGCCGCACCTGCGGGCTCCTCACCGCAGGTGCAAAAATACCAGAAGCAGCAACTTCAGATTTTTGCCTAAGTCCAAATTCACTTCCGTTAAGCATCCGAAACTCACCCGAGGCCCTCGGGACCTTAACCAAACATACCAACCAATCCTAAAACATCATACGAACTTAATCCAACCCTCTAATCAAATCAAACAACACTAAAACCACGAATCACCCTCCAATCCAAGCCTAATGAACTTGAAATCTCAAGAATTCTACAACCGATGCCGAAACCAACCAAACCATGCCCGATCAACCCCAAATTTTGCACACAAGTCACATTCAACACTACGAAGCTATTCCAACTTTCGGAATCAGATTCCGACCCCGATATCAAAATTTCACTATCGATCTGGAAACTTCAAAAATTCAACTTTTCGGCATTTCAAGCCTAAATAAGCTACGAACCTCCAAAACACAATCCGAACATGCCCCTAAGCCCGAAATCACCCAAGGGAGCTAACAGAGTCGACGTAAATCCATTCCGAGGCCGTCTACACATTGTTTCGACTACGGTCCAAATTCTAAAGCTTATGCTCTCATTTAGGGACTAAGTGTCCCAAAAACACTCCGAAACTCAAACGAAACTTCCCGGCAACTCACAATAGCAGAAACAAACACGAGGAAAGCAGTTAATAGGGGATCGGGGCATTAATTCTCAAAACGACCGGCCGGGTCATTACAACCTTTGAGAAAGTCCACTAGGACATCTAAACCTCACATATGGCTCACAGATTATGTCCACTCTTCTATCACCCCCTACCCAATCTCTGCCTCCTTATCTTATTCTTCCCTTTCTTCTTCATATCAAGCCTACCTGATAGCCCTTTCCTCTATCATTGAACCTGCATCCTTTGAGCAAGCTGCCAAGGATAGCAACTGGATTCAGGCTATGAAGCTTTAGATTGAGGCCGTCACTGACAATCATACATGGGAAGTGGTGGATTTGGCTGTAGGAAAAACACCTATTGGATGTAAATAGGTGTATAAGGTGAAGTATGAGGCACATGGTAGTGTTGAAAGGTATAAGGCCAGATTGGTGGCCAAGGGTTTTGCCCAACACGAGGGTCTGGATTACCATGACACCTTATCTCCTGTAGTAAAGATGGTAACTGTCAAAAAAAATCATCACTAGTAATTTATGCTACTATAATTTTTCTATTTAAAAGTTTTAGAAGATATACGTTTCAAGAAAATGCTTATTCTCTTTTTTAGTCCGCCGTGTCAATAAAAAATTTCAAGTGGATGAGACAAATGTTTATTCTCTCTTGAATTGCACAAAATTAAAACTGTAACAGTAGTGCTTCAGTTGATTGTACTGGATCGTTTCGCTGTATATATTTGGATAAATTGTATTGATTGTCGTCGTTTTATGGTGTTATGCACCGACCATATAAAAAATAACTTACAATACTTCAAAGAAAAAGATACGAGGTAGAATTATTATATAAAATGTAAGGTAAAGAATAAAATAAGATTATCTAATAGAATAAGGAAAGGCAAGATAAGAAAAAAAGATAAGAAAACGATGCGACTACACCAAATCGATCGTTATATGAAGTGACATTTTTTAATTGTTATGTAACGATACAATACAATAAAATTTAATTAACAATCAAAATAAATATTATATTCAAATTAATAATACGACACGTAACAACCATCCAAACAAGCTGGAAGTACAAACTACCAGCCTCCTTCCCCACCGAAACTCGAACTTTTCTCCAGCATTTACTACATCAAGTTTTTAAAACAAATAAATAGTGTTAACCTTAATGCTTACATGGATTTAATTGCTTGCCTCTTATAGTGTTTTTAGTTTTTTGAAACTCTTCCAACGATCTAACAATTAACAAACTATTAGTATAAATTAAAGTCTCCGTGTTTGAATAATTTCAAACAAATGAAACACTATAAATAAATAAAAGAGCAATCTGGTACACAATGCGTTCCACGTTCAATCATGATCCGGAGAAGAGCTGCACATTAAAAGGTGTAATGTAGACAACGTACCCAAATCCAAGCATTAGTGACTGCTTCCACGACTCGAACCGGTGAGTTATAGACAACTGGAACACTATAAGAGAGGAAAAATATTAAATACTACTATTAAGTATCAAGGTCAAATTTTCTTTCTTTCTAACTACCATCATTCTGAAAACCTGGTGTAATAACATTAATGCTCCAGCAACCAACAACTTGTATTTGCTTATGCAGAAAAAACGTCATAGTGGATTAATTAGGCTTTTATCTTTAACCATCATCATTAAGTGCAAATGCAAAAAAAAAAGGATAAAAAGTAAGTGTGAATAGATTTAAAACAATCTTATTCAAGTACGTCAATAGCAAAACTCAAAACCAAAACAAGAAAAGTATACTAACGAGTAGAAAAGAACAAAAGATACGTAACTACTAACACTGAGAATTTAATCCTTTGAACTCCAATCCGTCTATATAAACAGCTTACTAGTGTAAGCCAATATTCATTACTCTTCTCTATTTCTTTTCTATTTTACATCAAAGAAAAGAAAAGAAAAGAAAATGGCTTCTACATTTAAGTTGATTGTTAGTGTTGTCACTTTGCTTTGTTTAATTCACTTTTCCAGTATTTGTAATGCTAAAAGGATGCTTAGGGAGTCTAAGATAGGAAAGGAAAATGAGAAGTTATTTAAGGAGAAAAAGGATGATTCAGCTTCTCCTTCTCCAGATTCAACAAACATTGGTGGATTTCCTTTCCCATTCAATTTTCCACCATTTTCTGATGGAATTCCAAATATACCCTTCAATTTTCCATTTCCTGACTTTGGATCATCAGGAGGATTGCCTGGTTTTGGAATTCCTGGTACTGGCGGTAGTGGTACTGGTGATAATAACCCATTTACTTTTCCAATCCCTGGAGTTCCTAATGTTGCTGTTCCACCCCCAGCTTCCGTCCCTTAATTTCCTATACAAGTTTCTCTCTGTTATTATCAGTTTAATTTTGTAAGAGGAAGGAAATCAAGGAGTAAGTTTTAGAGCCATAGGCTCAAATGAATATCTCTTGTCCTTGTTTCTGATGTAATTAATTAGAAAATGGGAAATGACATAGATGTCAAGTAAAAAAGAACTCGGTACTCTGCTACAATTATTTTCCTTTTCTTTCCCTCTTTCTCTCTTTCGTGTGATATAATAGTACTTAAAATATCTTTATATCTTTTTTTTTTTGTTGGTATAATTATGTGATCTATAGAATCAACTGACTTGACTATCGAGATTCAGGTCGTGTAAGGCCTATCGGAAGGGAGACAACTTCCAACTATGAATTCTTCATTTCTAGGAATTGAAATCGAAGACTTCTTGTTAAGGGTGAAGGGATAGAAGGGATCTTATCTATCTCACCACATCTCTTGGAATTATTGTTGAGGGGTATAAAAGAGTTGCTTTCTTTTTGGACGTGGGTGGATGTATGACTAGAAAGATTTTATGCATTTGATAGGTTATCAGCGTTTAACCACGTATTGTCTCATAAATAAATAGAAGAATTAACTAAGATAACCGGTTGGACTTGAGATTGAACAAATAAGATGAAGCGTTAAGAAAAGATTTGAAGACTAGCAAGGCATCACTGCTTTAGGGTATATATGGGCCGGCAAGTAATTAAACCACTGATCTAAGAAAAATGAGCTTAATAAAGCATTTCATAATCAAACTTAATATTTTCAGAACAGAAATCAAATGTGCTAATCCTTTTACCAGTCCCAAATAGCATTTATAGAAAAAAGTTCCAAAATTTCACACACAAACATTACATTTCCTTCTTTAGAATAAAGTATTGCGTGCGTTGTAAATCAAGAATCCTGGTTCTCTTATGACCTTGGGATGTGAAATGATGGTGCTGCGTCTTACTTAGGGATGACAATGGGGTGGTGCAAGTGCAGGGTGGAACAGGGTGGATTTGTACGTTGGCGGGGCGATGGGGGTTTGAGAATTTGCGATTGCGGGGCAGGTTCAATTTTTAAATTAAAAAAAATAATGCGGGGTGGGGCAGGGCGGGGCGGATTCAATTTTTAAATTAAAAAAAATAATGCGGGGCGGGGCGGGGCGCGGGTGGGCATTTAATTTTTTAAACTAATAGACAGAAAGGCTAAATATTAATACTCTAGTCCAAATTCTCTCTCTCTCTCTCTCTCTCTCTCTCTCTCTCTCTCTCTCTCTCTTACGCTTCATCTTTAAGTAATATCTAATAAAGGAGTATGAAGGGTTTCTGCAGTATTTGCATAAACCCTTGAAAGCTCAACCCAGAATTGGTATGAAAATTAGCATTGCATTGATTAAATAACCATTCTGAACAATGATTTTCTTGGCTAAAATTCCAAAAGTCTGTCTTGTTCCCTTTTTCATTAATTTACCTTTTTTCTCACTGTGTTTTTGGATATTAGCAATTGTCTAAAGTGGAAATGCTAGTAGTATATGTTTTAATTGATCTTATTACCATGTTAATATGATTAGAGAATTGCTATTTCGTTAAAACTTTAATTGTTGGTATGAATTCCATCCAAGAAAAGAAAGATGATGTCCTTCTCAAAAAAATAAAAAATAAATAAATAAATAAAAAGAAAAGAAAAAAAAAGATGACGTATAATTGAGGAAATTTTATCTGGTCATACTTGCTCGGTTTGCTGCATTTACTAACTTGCTCTGGGTGCTTTCTTCGTTTTGGCAAGCACCAGCAATTCTTTTATATATAGAACAGTCTGTTCATATTAAACAAAACTATAAGCTGCAAGTTCCTGGTTTTGCTTCTTTAGATTTGTGAAACCATGATAAAGTTTCTCACAATCGCCTCGGTTCTTGTTCTGTTAGCCTCCATAAATCGTGTGGAGGTTGGCCAACAACTGCTTGTTGTCAGCCGTCTGCAGCATGGACGAGCACTAGATGTTATTGTTCACCTTACTACTCTTAACTGTCTACATTTCTCCCATTCTCCTTTAACTTTGTGGCCAGCAGATGTGTTACTATTAGCCTTCAAATAACATGTTTTTTATCTGCCTTTTCTCATGACAAATATAACTATACAAAGGAACTTATGATGTGCTGGTTTTGCGATTGTGTTATGTAGAATTTAAAATACAGTGACAGTGTAAAAGATGATTCGAGGTAACTGTCCATAAAAGTGGATTTAGTAACCTTAAAAATAAGGTATGTTGCCTGTTAAAAAGGATAAAATACACTACTGGTGCAAAATTTCTTGCAGATAAGTTAAATCCATGTTATATGTATATATATGTTAAAAGCTTTTGCATACATTGTCATTGTTGCTTGTAAATTTGACGTTTTATGAATGAATCTGTATTTTGCAGCATGCACGAGCAAATGCAAGAAAGCTTGCTGTGACTGCAACATACGGGTGATTCCTCCCGTCTGCACCAAGTGCCGACTGATGGTTTCACAGGTTAAAAGGAGTCATTTTACTCTTTATCATGGGATATGTGTAAAAGATCTGTGAAAGATCTTTGCTTCTTTTTTAGTAATATACGTGTGATTTCTGAGTTATTGTTGGTGAAGAACGTTACTGATTATTATTGAGAACAAAAAATTTTCTGCAGCATTATGAGCTCCAATCTGGCCATAACTTTTTCTATTATTCGACTATTTTCTGTTAGCATTATCAGGTAATTCTCACTTAGATCCCCTCAGGTTTGGGGAAGTGGCACTTAGCTCCTTGTGGTTTGAATATGGCAGATTAGCCCCTTACTGTTGATCAAGATTATAGTTTGAAAAATTGGACAAAAGCTAGGAGCCATCTACTTGACTATAAGCATGAAAGACGTACTAACTTCCATTTACATCTTCTTTCCTTATGAAATTATGTTTCCATCAGTTTAGGCAGAGATGAGCAATCAAGAAAATTCAGAGGAATGCACATTTTGTTGCACATTCCTTCACATGCTGTAAGCCTGTAACTAGTACAAGGCACCCACTGTGTGCTTGTTTGTTAGCTTTTTGACCGTTCTTCCAGTTGGCATGGAAATGAAATGGAGCACTAGCTTTAGTTATTAAATTGGGTAAACAAAAAAAAGAGGACAAGAAAACTTCTGAATTTTGGCGAGGAACCGATTAATGAGGCTTGTTCTTTTCAAGAACTGTGAAGAACAGACACAGGAGAGAAAACTGAAGAGTTCATCCAACTAGCAGAAACTGAAACTTTTAAGTTGAGTAAGTTTCACAGGTAAACATTCGTATGTCTTTTTTCTATTCATTGGAGTGGAGTTTAATCTGCACTTTTTTGAATGAAAAGCAGTGACATTAAGCGCCTCCAGATATTAAAATTAACATTGCATTGATCAAATGGCCATACTGGTTTTGACTGATGATTTTCTTTGCTAAAAACTCCAAGAGTCTGTCTTGTTCTCCTTTTCATTAGTTTACTTTTTAATACACTTTTCTCTGGATATAAGCAATTGTTTGAAGTGGACTATAACGACTCGACCGATCTTTACGAGCATTGCCATTTCGTTCGGTGGTTTGAGGTCTCAAATAACTTCATTTGATGTATTACGACTTGCGTGCATGGTTGGTTTGGTTTCGGGAAGATTTCGGAGTGATTCGGAACACATTAGTTCCTAGTTTAGAAAAGCTTAAATTACAAGTGTTGACCAGTTTAACTTTTATGTATTTGATCTCGGATCAGAGTTTTGAAGGTCCCGTTAGGTCCAGATGGTGATTTAGACTTAGGCATATGTCCGGATTCAGAGTCGAAGGTTCCTAGGTTGATTTGGCTCTAATTGGCGAATGTTGGAAGTTTGAAGGTTTAGAAGATCATAGGTTTGACCCATGTTTAGAAGCTTAAGTTACAAGTTATGACTTGTGTGTAAATTTGAGGTCATTCCGAGTTGTTTAGGCATGTTTGACGTAAGTTTGGAATTCGAAAATTTGGATTAGTTCATTAAGTTTGAGTTGGTGTGAGATTCGTAGTTTTGATATTATTTGGTGTGGTTTGAGGCTTCGAGTAAGTCCATGTTATGTTTTAGGATTGGTTGGTGTGATTGGACGGGGTCCCGAGAGCCTCGGGTGTACGGCTACAATTGTTAGAATGTTCCTGTTACTGTGAATAAGAATATTCTGTTGAATATTCCCCCACGTTGTACTTTTTTAGAGTTCTCTAGGAATATCCCTTATAAATAAGAAGAGACAGGAAACAAAAAAGGGGATTCAGAGCCTTTGTGGAAAAACATCTTGTAAAGAGTTGACTATCTGAAATATACAAAAAGATTGTTTGGTTCCATCACATAACATTCCTCCTTAGCTCACAAGATCCAAGAATACATTATCCACTTCACGTGTCTGTTGTCACGTGTTGTAGTCAGAGGAAGGAATCATCCATCTCATCCAACCTTTGGGCGACAAATTCCTTCTTATTACATTTAATGCCATTTATCACAGTTATTGCATGTTTCCATCCTCATATTAATTGTTAGTCATAGAGCATTAACTCAGCATTTGTCAACTTGAACATGGACTCGTACTGCCTAGGTTGATTAATTTCGGATCTAGAATTTATTACTTTTAACTTGGATTCACCCCTCATCTCTTTATTAAATTGGTTTAACTAAAAGGGTTCAAACTTTTTGGTCAAACAATTTGGCGCCGTCTGTGGAGAGGTCCAAGTTAAAAAGTTTAGTTTCTTCTAGATCTAAAAAAACCAACAAAAGCTCCCCTTTTTTCTTGTTTGCACAAGCTAACAATGGCAGGAAAATGAGAGGAAAGACTGAAAACAATGATGGGTGTCGCTACCAATCTCATAGGCACCATCAACGAGATGTACAGGGAAGGCGAGGAGGCTGCGACGCCGAGCGCCTCACCCAGGCAAAGTGATTTACCCCCTCCTCATGGGAGTGTAACCGCTTCACATGAGAAGGGGGACTCCACGTCCACGACGGAAGAAGCGTCGCCCGCAGTGA